GAGCTCTGGTCAGTGGCCCCCAGGGCCATCAGCATTCATATGGGGGGGGGGGGGCATGTATGTATTACATTGTGGGGACCAAATGTCTCAAATTCTAGTTTTGATTGGCTGCTTAGGGCTAGGCAGGACTTAAGGTCCCCCTTGCTGGGATTAGGGTTGTGCTCATAGAAGTGAATGGAGAGTCCCTACAATGACAGAAATATATGAACTGTATGTGTGTATGTATATGTGTGTGCTTAAAAGGGGTCAGTGTTTCTCTTTTATCAGCTACCCCTCCCCCCCCCGTAACTCTTCCACCCACCATCTCGCTGCACATAGATCAGCCCCACCCTCTGCTCATATTTAATGATCCTACTGACTGAGAATTGGTGCGCTATAGTCTGGGGTAACATAGGGTTAAGTTGAGGGGGAGGGGTTCAAGTGTCAAAGTAAAAGGTGAGGGGGTGTTTCCCGTCACTTTGGGGGGGGTTTCCCTTTGCTTTGGTTGGTGTGTTTTTTGCGACTGCAAGCCTTTGTGCAGTGAGCCCCTCCCGTCCCTGTGCCCTCTCGGGCCGCCATAGCTCACGTCCCTCTCCGTGGGGGGTGCTGAAGTGGAGTCCGCAGTCCGGGGGTCCTTAAATGGCAAGTGGCAGAGTGAAACATTACCCAAGAGCCGGCCGTCTCGTGTTTCCCCTTGAAATTTTAATACGGAGCAGAGCCACAGTGCGTAACTTCACTGGCCGGTCACTGGGCTTTAATGGAGCGTGAGGGTACAGAGGCTCTCCTCTTGGGGGGGGGGGGGCTTTTGGGAGGCACAATTATTTCAGGGAGATTCAAAGTCCCAAGGACAGTGAACTTCCTGCCTGCATGTTAACCCACAGACTCCCAACAACAGATGTACAGAGAATGATAAATAATGATACAGCAACACAGTAAGGACACAGCAGGCACTGAGCGCACTCCTGTAGTACGTGTGACATCACAGCAGGAGATAAACTGGCGAGTGGCTACGGCAGCAGCGGTAGATCAACACTGAGAGAGTAGCACCATCAGTGTTGAAGTGCAGTGTAAATCAGAACCTGGGGAGATCTCTTATGATCTTCGGGTAAAAAGTGGTCCTGAATCTTGATGTCTGGATGTTTTTGGTCCTGAACCGTTTACTGGAGGGGGGCAGTGCCAGTGGAGGGTGACCTGGGTAGTATGAATTACGTGAGTGGAGTACTGGGGACCTTCTTCATCTCTCTTACCATTCTCTTCCTCTGTCACCCCCTGCAGGTTGTGTAGCCTCACGCTCAAGAAGCTCATCGTCCTGAAAGAGCTGGACAAGGAGCTCACTTCTTTGGTGATCGCCGTCAAGATACAGGTGGGGGCCATTGGTGTGCAGGACCTGGCTGTCTGTTGGCGGGTGGGCAGGCAGGCGGGTAGGTGGGTGGGCACGTTTCGTTTGTATTCGTGTTCGTCTGCTTCATTCACACGTTTGGCTGCAGTCTCTGCTTGTGTTTGTTTTTACTCCAGTGAGTCATGCATTTTTTGTTTTTTTTTTCTTTTAACAATATCCCTTCAGCTTCCGGGAAATGCCTGTGAATGAGGGACTGCAGTGCGCTGCACTGGGGGCTTGTTGTTATCTGGGAAGGAGCCACCCCTCCCCCAAGCCACCCCCAATCTCCCACTTACTGCGCACCTTACTGCCAGCTTAGCGACCGGGTAACCATGAGACGGCCTTGTCCTCTCAGCGCTCGGGGGGGGTCGGGATGGGGGAGGGGGGGTGTTGTCTGAACTTGCTTGGGAAAATGCGCGCATCTCTCTTCTGGTCCAGATTCCAGCTGCTGTACCAAGTCTGCCCAATTCCACATCCTTTCCTGGGTTTTCACTTCCAGTTTCTGTGTAATAATTCTGGTCTCCTCTCTGAGACACTGCTGGATCCAGTCCCAGACCGATACCCAGCTCCGGACCCAGCAGGGGTTCCACTTGAGATTTTGGGCCAATCCCATTATGTTCCCGAATCATCCTAAATTTCCCACCACAGCGCATCTGAGACTCTCAGTCCTAGTCTGTGGATCTCCTGCTCAGGGTCAGACTCCGTTCTTCTCCATACCCTTGTGTCTCGTCGGAGGTGGGTTCCTCCACCGCAGCACTCAGCAGTGTAGGCGGGGAACCTGTCGTCAAGGTGATGCTTTGCTCCATGGGAACCGTGAAGACAAACACAGCAGAGGGGTTGGGGCGCTGTCTGTTGAACCCCCACCCCCAGGTCTCCCTGGCCTGCCACATTCCTGCACCACTCCCTAGACAGTGCATCGTGCACTCATTAAAAGGCTTTCCATACACTTAATTAGCAGTGTGTGTCTCAGCAGGCAAGCCTCTGTGCCTGTGATCGGTTGTTGGTTCGAATCCCCGTGCTCGGCAGAGTAGCCACATTTCCATTAGGCCCTTGAGTAAGGCCCCTGAAAAATGCTCTGGGAACCCCTGCGTAAACACCCTGACCCTGTGCCTGGACCCCAAACTTGTCTCTCACCTCCGTATCTGCGTATGTCTTAAAGCAGAGCATGATGGGATATATGAAAACGAAAGCATTGCAATGTACTTGTACTTGTGCAGATGGCAAATAAAGCATGATTTCATGATTCTTATTGACGGGCTGCCTCCCCCCCCCCCGCACCACTATGACACGTACGTCAAGAAGCTTGGCTGCAAAGTTCAGCTAGCAGTGCAGCTGCTTCCCGGACTCGTTTTGGACGCGAGACGCCCCCGTTTAGGGAACGCCAAGGCCCGTCACCCAGTTAACAGCTCTTCCCATTTCTGGTGCGAGAAATGCCAGCACTGTCAGCACCATAATGGCGCTTAGACGCATCCAGGAATGTTCGCTCATCTCCCCTCTTCCTGACGCTTTTGTTTTTTTTTTTTTTTTTTTTTTTTTGTAAGACTTGTCGCAAGAAAAAAAATCGAATTGTAGGACCAGTTTAAGCTGGAAAATGTCAGCAGAGGATAGGAAATGGAATTCTCTCCGTAGGCCCCGCGGTAAGCTTTCTCCCGGTGAGGGATAAGCCCGTCGATCCTCGGGAATCACGCCGTGGCGACGGGAGACGCCTGCCACGGGCAGGGAAGGGAGGGAGACGGAGACCGAGCCTCCGAGGGGAGTTTGCTGGGTCTTATGCCGCAAGCTGGGGACTTTGTTCTGTTTGCTAGCAGCTCGGATATGGAGGTGGAGGTTTGTGTGTGTACGCCCTGAATTTGCCCGATTTATGCTTCCTGCCTTCAGCTGAGCTGTGCTGCAACTCTTCCCCTCCAGTTCTGTCGTTTTACGTTTCTTTTTTCCTGTCTGGGACACTCCCTCAACTTCCCCCCTCCCCCAAACACACTTCTTACAAACATCTCTTTCGACTGAAGTAAGTGGAAACGGCTCACAGACTCACTCCATGTAACCCAACACCGGTCTGATTCCCCAGGCCAGTAAAGCGCCAAGAGCGCCCCCCCCTCCCCACCACCACCACCGCCGCCTTTACATCTGTCATGCTTTCGTCGGTGTGTCAGCTGGACAGCCGCTCGCATAAACGCACTGCTGTCGGCTCCGTTTTCTGTTTTTTTTTTTTTTCTTGTGTCATGTGATCCGGGTCATTCTGGCTCCTGACCTCTTGGGTACCATCTCTCCTCCCAGCTGTCTCTCTCTCGCTTACCAGTTCTGTATGTCTCCAGTAACACTGCCAGCAGGTGGCATGCCGGTTAGGGGTGTGGATTTGTTACCAGATCAGCTGGGGACCATTCATATGAAATGTCCAGCTGTATAAACTCGTAGATGGGTCTCTGCTTACTAGAGCCCAGTGTTTGCCACGCTGCCCCCAGCAATTGGGGCATGAGTGCCCCCCACAGGCAGAGCTGGAGCATGACACGGGCCTCCCCGGGCAAGCTCCGCCGCACATTCGAAGGAGCCGGGCTGATCGTCGGCTTCCGTGGAGGTGATTGCGACCCAGTAGGAGATCCAGTCACACCGATAGGAGATGGGGTCGTGTAGGACGTCTCTGCCACACATTGGTGCTGTGATTCAGACTGAACTAGCCGTTCCTCTGAATACCAGATGCCAAGCTGGCAGGACCAATCCCTCAGGGCCGTGCCAGGATGACAGAGGATCCATTGCTCTGCCCGGCAACCGGGTCACTGAGGCCTGGACTGAGGCTTGTTTCATGGACACTGTGCCGGTTTCCAGTAAGTGCGGCGATGTAATGTAACGGTCCCCCCAGCTGGGGGGGGGGGGGGGGGGGGGCGGAGCCTCATTGCCCAGTCTGTCAGCATGCACCCCATCAACCCCAAAGTGGAAATCCCTCGCCTGAGCTATTTTCGGCCGTCCCTGAGTGAGGAAATAAACTCCGGTATAATTAACAGCCTAGTCTTGTGGCTGATAACTTGCCGGCGAGGTCCCCCCCCCCCCCCCCCCCCCCCCCATCCAGTCATGCCCCTGCTGTTTTGTTTTTTAATCAAATCTGAAAGCGTTCCTCATCTCCATGCGCCGAATTCTGACAATAAGCCTAATTAAAGAGAATACATTAGAGA